CTTTGGCAATACCCACCCCTAGTGGTGGGTGTGTCTGATTCACGCCAATTCCCAGACAAAAATCACGCCATCTAGCGGAAAATCACGCGGCTTTTTTAAATCACGCGAGAATGTGTACAAAACAACAAAAATGGCGCCGGCAACGCTTGTGGGTTCTTTTTTAAGCGAATGTCTTTTTAAAAGTCATTTTGAGTGATAATTTTTTTTTTTTGCCCGGCGGGCAAATGCAATGAAATTTGTACTCTCCCGAAAATAAAAACTACTTGCCCCAGGGGATCGGGCGATGGTTAACATCGAGCCCTGTATGATGTGTATTGTAGAAGCTCCTACCGTGTGACACTATGATAACTTTGTGTTAAAATACATTAAAATGTTGTCAAGGTTACGCCCACCTTATGTCACACTGACTTCCTGTTGTACTTCTAAAATTTTACCTTCAGACATGAACAAAGTCCCATTTTCTGGGTAGTAGAGTCATTAAGGAACATTTTACCGACCGTCTTTTGCAGGTAGAAGGTCGTAGAGCTCCTTCACCTCTTCATGCTTGGCCCTGCCCTTATCCACACTCTGCTTTCTCATGTTGGCCATCTCCATGCACCACTCTTCAAACTTATGGTTGTCTTGGTCGACCAACTTCTGAAGGAATGCTGATGAAAGGATCCACAGAAGGAAGAGAACTCAGAAAACAAAGATGGTTAAAAACTTGGCTGAGATCTTTGGAGAGACGTTCTACTCACCTGGGACCTCGACGTTAGTCCTGGAAGGTTCTGAGCTCTTCTCCTCCTGGACCTTGTATACCAGCATGTAGGCGTTTCTAGAGCAGTGGTAGCCTTTACTGCATTTGGGTTTTCTGGATTGGGTTTTTCCTGTTTCAGCTAAATTAGGAGAGATGAGGAAGCAAAAGGAAAACAGTTCACTCTAACAGGCCTCAACCGGATTCAACTGTTACCAAAAGTTTACATCCGGTCACCATGGGTGTTCATCTTCTATTTCAGTGATTACCAACCTCTTGTAACCCTAGAGGCCAGCCATGGCATTGCACTGAAAACATGTAATATTTGACTTCCCAGATAAAGAATTTTAATAAAAAATGGCTGGATTCGGGTTTTGCTCTGTAAGGTCCAGAAAGATCAAAAGAAAATGTCCTAATCAACATTTACATGATGACTAGAGTGGGTATGGATGCACTGCTTCTCTGCGAGTGAGTGGCTGAAACATCCCACTGCTGTGGACTGAGGAGAAGCTCAGGTGGTTCATTAACACCCAGCTGATTGACGAACACCAAGTAAAAATAATATAGAAAAGCTGAATATTATTTAGTTCATGTTTTTTTTCCTGTTTTGTCAAGTTTACATGTGTTTATAGGGGACTTAAACAGAAGCGCTCTGGTTTTTTGTTAGAAAACAGATTTGTAGCTTAATTTGCTTTTATGTTTATTTCAGTACTTATTTACTTTCCAGGCAACATATTTATGTTGTTTTTATTCTAACTCAGGACTGGTTAAATGTTTATTAAAACATTAAAATGAACATAGCCTATTAAACCACGACATAACACATTTTTAAAAAAACAAATATTAATATTAGGGATGCGCGATATTGGGATTTTGGCCGATATCCGATATTTTAAAACTCATGTAGCCGATAAC